CTCGGCGAACGAGTACAGCACTCACGGCCTTGGAGGAGACAGCAAAGTATAAGTACAATGTCTCGTTGTTGATGGGAGATGAGAGTATTGGTGGATTCACCAAATACTCCTTAAGTTCTGTGAAAGCTTTCTCACATTCAGGAGTCCACTGAAAGCTTTTTCCACCTCCTTTTAAGGTGTTGAAGAAAGGGGCACACCGATCTCCAGCTCGCGAAATGAATCGATTGAGTGCCGCAATCCTTCCTGTTAGAATTTGTACTTCTTTATGCTTTTTAGGTGATGTCATCTGGAGAATCGCTTCAATTTGCCTAGGGTTAACCTCGATTCCACGTATTGTCACCATGAATCCAAGAAACTTCCCTGCGGTGGCCCCGAAGACGCACTTTTTTGGATTAAGGCGCAAGTTGTATCCTCGTAGGGTATCAAAAGTCTCGCGTAGATCTTCTAAATGTGCATGTGTCTCTGCACTTTTGATTAGGATGTCATCTACATAGGCTTCAACATTTCGACCTAGTTGTCGGGCAAAGACTCGATCCACCATACGTTGATAGGTAGCTCCGGCATTTTTGAGGCCGAACGGCATCACCTTGTAGCAATAATTTCCTACCGGAGTCATGAAGGCAGTATATTTTTGGTCGTCCTTCTTTAGTGGGATCTGGTGGTACCCTGAGAACATATCAAGAAAAGAGAGATGGCGATGACCGGCGGTCGCATCAATAAGAAGATCAATCTTGGGCAAGGGATACGGGTCCTTCGGGCAAGCCTTGTTGAGATCGGTGAAGTCAACACACATTCTCCACTGGCCGTTGGCCTTTTTAACCATGACCACATTAGCCAACCATGTTGGGTAGAGAACCTCGCTAATGAAGCCGGCTTGCCCTAGCTTGATTACCTCCTCTGCTATGGCCTGGCGACGTTCCCATGCAAAGTTTCTTCTTTTTTGTTGGATGGGCTTGCTACCGGGGATAATCCCTAGTGTATGCTCGACAACTTTTGAATCGAGACCAGGCATATCCTCAGGTCCTTGAGCAAAGAGCTCTTTGTACTCGATCATCAAACTGAGAAGTTGTGGGAGATAATTTTTAGGCCATGCCATGGATACACGAACGATTCGCCCTTCTTCTAATGTATGTTCTTCATCAGGGTCAACGGGAACGGGACGAGCGACCTCGTCTTTGGCTTCCATCGTGGCCACAAAGCCATCTTTAAGGGAGAACTCACAACACTGTCGTGCAAGAGCTTGATCTCCCTTCACACACCCGACTCCGGCAATAGTTGGGAACTTCAATTTTAAGTGCAAAGTTGAGGGTATAGCCCGAACTTGATGTAGAAAAGGGCGCCCGAGAATGCAGTTGTATGCAGAAGGGCAATCAATAACATGGAAGTTGATTGTGTTCTCCACGGTTTGTTGGTTATTGCCAATACGAACTTGGAGTGGGAGAATTCCCAGAACTGGGACTTGATTTCCGGAGAAGCCCACGAGGTAAATGCTAGGAGGGTGGCATTTGTTTAGTTGAAGACCCATGGACTTGAAAGCTGGGTAGAATAAAAGATCTGCAGAGCTTCCTCCATCAATGAGGACTCGTTGCACAGAATAGTTTGCAATTACTGCCTTAATGACTAAGGCATCATCATGAGGATACTCGATATCTTCAAGATCCCTATCGTCGAAAGAAATGGGAATTTGTGTGGTAGAAGCGGAACCGACCAACCTTGGGGCACCGGTTGAGTGAGAACCAACTTGTTCGGATAATTTGACCCCGCCATGAATGACAGGAACATTTCCCAATATCGATCCACTTCCCCGTGGTGCTTTTCCTTTGTCTATTATTGGAGGTGAAGGGAGAATAGGGGGACGAACATTCTTTACAAAGTCTCGAAGATAGCCTCGTTGGATAAGTCCTTCAATAGAGTGCTTGAGGGTGTAACAGCTTTCTGTATCATGTCCCGTACATCGGTGAAATTCGCAGTAGAATTGTTGGCCCTTTCCTGAAACCCTCATAACTGGAGGAGGTTGAGTAATGGGAATTTTCTTCTCTCGAATGACCTGAAGAATGGCTTGTCTAGAGCGATTGAGAGGAGTATAGCTTTGTTGTAACTGGGTAGCTTCCCTTCTGGAACTTTGGGAAGAGTTTCGGCCCTCGGCTGCAGGAGCTTGACGTTGTCGGCGGGAATCTTGGGATGAAGTCTCTTGTTTTCTTTTGGATCCTGCCCGACTAACCTCCTGAAGTGCTTCTTCTAGATCAATATATTTTGAAACTCGCTCTTGAAGCTCCATAGTGCTGTGGGGAGCCCGTTTTGCAAGAGAAGCATATAAATCAGCATTGATAGTCCCTCGCATCAGGGCATTAGTGGCAATCTCCGTGGAGATGGACGTTAGTCCGATGGCGATGTTACTATATCGAGTATAGTAAGCCTTGAGTGTCTCATCATCACGCTGCCTGATGCTGAGGAGTTGATGGATGCTGATAGGTTGTTTTTTTTGTGCGTAGAATTTGCATCTGAAGAGAGTGGCAAATTCGAAGAAGCTGGAGATAATACCATCTTGTAACTTTGAGTACCATCGTCGGGCATCTCCACGGAGTGTTGCTGGGAAGATTTTGCACATTGTTGCACCAGATGCTCCGATTAATGGCATTAGGATTTGAAAAGAGCAAAGGTGGTCTTCTGGATCTGTGGTGCCATAATACTCTGGCAAGCTTGGTAAATGAAGATTTGATGGGTAAGGCTCATCCTGCACGATTCTGGACAGAGGTCCTCCTACTCCGGTTGAAGTGACAACTCCGTGTCCTGGGGAAGGTTCGAGCAGATTGGCTGAGAGACTCGGAGCGGTTAATCCAACAGGTGCTGACGTCGCATTTGGTGGTTCATTGATCGAGCCATGGGCAACAACTCTCTCTTGGTCGTTTGGTTTCGGTACTCTGGAGGAACCAGGAGCGTTAATATGGGAGGCCTCTCTGGCTCTGAGTCGCTCAATCTCAGCCTGCATCTCACGTACTTGTGCCGGAGTAGGGGTGAGAATTCCTTCTGGTGTCAGAATAGAAGTAGTCTGTGCAAGTGGCACCACTCGAGGCTCTGTATTTTGACTCGGTGCATCGCTGAGTGGTGAACGGGGGGTTGGGTTGCCCCCAGTCTCGATTACTCTTAAAGAGCGACGCACTGCTTCAATGGTAGGAATACTGGGAGAGCCTTGGGTATTCATCACGGCTGGGTGGTGGTTTGTGAAAACTTTGGAAATATTCTTCTCACCGGGCCCCACGGTGGGCGCCAATTGTTGATGCCAAGCTTAGAGCAGCCTGCTTCAATATGTTTAGGTCCGGAGAGCGCTGATTTCTCAAAGCCTTTAACCACCTCCAGCTCCGTGCGAATACCTGAAAAAAAGGTCCCACCGGGGGGAGGGTCCTGGTTGGAACCTCCTCCGACGCTCAAATTAGTAACCTGAAGGGAATAAAATAAATACGATGACGATAGACCTGGTTCGGTCCCACGGTCGTAATTGAGCGCCGTCGGCTATTTAATGCCGCCCGGTGGAGACTATCCACGATTCCATGGCTTAGTCCGCCAAATTGTGGGTGTGTTGAGTGTTTTGCGGTTTAACACGTTTTGGGAGATCGAGAGGAGAGAGAAAACGTTTTTAGAGAGAGAAAGTAGAGAGAGTGTATGTGTGAGTTGTGTTGTGTGAAGTAGTCGTAAGCGACTTATGTGGTGGTGTATGTGTGACTTGTTGTTGTTTAGAAAGGGGGAGGGGTGCTCCCTATTTATAGGAAAAAATAGTAGTTGAATTCCTCAACTTACGTTAACATTCACCAACATTCTCCGCTATACTCCTATACTCGTTAATATTCTCCGCTATACCTCAATATTCTCCGTCATACACCAACATTCCTTATCAAGTATAGTATTTGAGAAAGTGTAAGGGTGTATGAGAATGTATGAGAAAGTGTTGGTATGTCATTGAAAATAAAGGAGTGAATGGGAGATGGGAAGAAGTCATGGGGATGAAAGGTATAAATAGTTAGGGAGGAAAGCTTGTACGTATGCATGCATGTGTATGCAAGTGGATGAAAATAAAAGAAAGTTTGGGGAAAGGAGAATGGAAGGGTGTCTGTACCTTTCTCATGTGGACAAAACAAATGGGTGAGAGGGAAAAGGAAGGAAGAATAAGACAAAAACAAATGTTATGGAAAAGTACAAGTGAGGGGTTAAGGAAAAAATAAGAAAGTGAGTAAAGGAAAAAAAACAATAACATTAGTTAAAGGAAAAAAACAATGAAGGATTCTGGCGGTATAATACAAATTTTCGGGTATTTCGGGTACCGCAATAATTAACAATTTATCGAGTGTATTAATGAAAGGGCAGGTGTTTATTATTATATTTAATGATAATGATTAGGATTCTCTCGTAAATGAGAAGGATTAGGGGATGATAAGTATTATTATTATTATATCAATGTGGGTAGTTAAGGAAGTTTGTGGTATGAAGGTTTTAATAAAAGAAAACAAATTAGATTTCTGGCGAGATGTTAGTTAGAAAGTTAGTGGAATCAACGTAAAAATCAATCTGACTTTTAAAAACTCTTTAATTATTACAAAAAACTATGTTTAATTTGCATAATTATCAGATTTATAATTATTTAAACAATATAATTATTTAGTCACAATTCTATAAAACGAATCCTTTAATTTCGGCAATAAAATCAGTAAATTATGTAAAGTAGTGATTAACTATAATTATGTTAAATTATGTTAAGTGGTGATTAAATGTGGACGCCAATTAGGGGAAGACGTGAGTTTTTTTTTTTTTTTTTGATCGGAGGGAAGACGTGAGTTATGGACCTGTTAATTATGGAATTTTTTTCGGATGTCAATTAAGTAAATGAAAGTTAAAGTAGACGCCAATTAGGGGAAGACAAGTTAATTAAGGGAATATTTTACGGTTGTTTATGTAAACTTTTATATATACCATGAAAAACTTCTCTCTTTTATTTTAGTGAGAAAAAAACTCCTCTTTAATATTCTACCGAAATATATCAATGAGAAAATCAATCTTACCTTAAAATACTCCCTTTAATTTGCATAATTATCAGATTTCTAAATATTTAAAACAATAAAAATTTTATTCACCGGCGGCCCGTCCGACGCAGGAGATCGGACCACGTCCGATGCGAGAGGTCGGACCCCGTCTGACGTGGGAGATCGGACCACGTCCGATGTGAGAGGTCGGACCCCGTTCGAGGCCGGTCGGCGGACCACGTCCGATGCGAGAGGTCGGACCCCGTCTGAGGCCGGCCGGCGGACCCCGTCCGAACGCCGACGTCGGACCGAAGGTCTCCGTCCATCTCATTCCGAGGCCTTGCTCCCATGGCGATTCCCTCGCCGTAGCCGCCACGCAAAAACAAGAAGCGATTGAGAGTCGGGAAGCGGAAGAAGATGGTGGAGGGTGAATCGCTGCCAGGGATTGCGGGGAAAAAAGAGGGTGAATCGCGGCGGCAGGTTTGGTCCTCCACAACGGCGGCAGCAAAACGCAGCCAACAGTTCCGGCGAGACATTTTAGTTAGGTTTCAAAGTGTTGAAGGGCAAAATTGACTTTTTCTACAAAATTATGGGCGGCAAATAGTAAATATACGGGCGGCAAATAGCGATTCAATATTATAACTACTCCAACCAAACAATCATCAAAACCAAACTAACCCTTACTTTATGGCTATCAAAAGATATTGGAGGTGGGTGCTGTGGTATCTTATCCTCAAAGCATCTTTAAGAGCCATTTCAAGTGGCAGTGCATGATTGTCAGCCAATCCTGCACCCATCACCAGATTACATATACCCCACGCTCGTCAACGTAAGGTAACTCCAATAATATTAATAATTAATTGGGACATATATAACGTACCATTTTCAGTTACATAAATTGTGGGATTGTGGTAGTTGTTTTTTACATACAAGAGAAGCTCCTGGAACCCTTTGGGATAGATGAAAAGCCAGCTCAAACCCGTCTGCATGAATTATTACTATTAATATTGTAAGCATATGCACGTCAATGTCATGGTAATTGCAAGAGAGAAGAGATTGACAAAGCCAGCTAGCTGTAGGAACAAGACTTATTATTATTATTATTATTATTATTATTATTATTATTATTATTATTGTTGTTGTTGTTGTTATTGTTATAGTGCCAGCCGGTATCAACAAATTGATAATGAATGAATGGTCCATATATACCGGTGTGCCAATGGGAATCCCGTCCTTGTCGGCTGTCAAGACAAAAGAAAAACAGCCACGGCCCAATCAATATCTATCGATACACTATTATTGTACTTAATGAAATATATATATATATATATATATATATATATATATATATATAAAGCAACCAAAGAGGAAATGATTGAGAGAGAGGATTAATTAATTTTATATATATATATATATATATATATATAATAAAAAAGCAACCAAAGAGGAAATGATTGAGAGAGAGAAAGAGGATTAATTATTGCAGGCAGGCCGGCAGAGGCCGGGGACGTACTGGTGAGAAGGACACGCCTGTCATTGGCGTAGCTGAGATGAAGATTGAGGGAGGATGAGTTGTTGTCGCTATTATCATCATCATTATCAAAGGGAGGAGCCTCTTCGGCGTAGTTGGTAGTATAGTAATTCACACCCAGAAAATCGAACGACCCCTTCACCAACTTGGACTCCTCTTGTGTGAATCTCGGCAGTCTCTTCCCCACCAACTTCACCATGCTCTTTGGGTACTCGCCATATGTGATTGGATGCGCAAACCTAATTAAGTATCCCGCGTTATACATACATAATTACTTTTTACTAGCTATATGCATGTGAATTAACCAGCGAGGTGAGGTACGTACGTACCAGCCGAAGAAGAAGTCGATGGCTCGAGAGGCGGCAGCGCGGCCGGAAGGGGTGTTGTATTTAGGAGTGTACCAGTTGGTGACAATGGTGATTCCAATGTCTCCCTTGTGAACGGACTTGTATTTGGATCTGTGGAGCTTCACCACTGCGGCGTGGCAAAGAAGCAGATGGTGGCCTGCAATGTAAGGCTCCGTCGCCGAGTTACCAGCGCTGCAGTTCCCCACGTACTTGGAACATCGACTGGGCGCAAAGTTGCCGGTGTTGTAAGCGTTCACGGCGTACCCATTCGGCTCGTTCATCGTCACCCATAGCTTCACCCTGTCACCGAATGTCTTGAAGCACAAGTTCGCATACGCCAAATACTCACCCCTACATACATTGCATGCAATTAATTGTTTTTGTACGTTACGTACAAAAAACTAGAAATACAACAATTAGGCATTGAGATCGATCCAAGTAGTAGCAGTAGATGGCTGAGATCAATACACAATCTTGGGGCTCAAGAATCCACCATATTCATCTTCAAGAGCTTGGGGAAGATCGAAGTGCCACAAAGTGACCAACGGCTTTATGCCTGCGTTCATGCAATTGGATCGATCGGTCCATCGAACTAGAGATGATTATGCGGTACTTACAAAATAATTAATATGCAACAAAATTGTATGGTCACCGTTGGCAAGGAGCTCATCGATGAGGTTGTTATAGAACGTAACGCCAACTTGGTTCACTCCTCCACTGAGTTTGCCATCTAATTAACCAACCAAACACACAAACACTGACATGCCGGCCAGCAACTTATATATAAATGCAATTAATTGGTTGATAACAAATAATTACTTGGCAATATTCTGCTCCATGATATGGAAAACCTGAAAGAGTCCAGACCAATCTTCTTCATCAGTTTTATGTCTTCCTGCATATAAAATTAGCTATTGCTAATTAAATGTGAAATTCATTCATTTCTCCTCTCAATTTTTATTTTTGTATATGTTAAATCATCGCTTCATATGATAGATATATGCTTATTACCTACCTTATACTTCTTGTAGAAGTTGTCCGCCAAATCTCCGGTACTGTGATCCATTATTTTTTCTGCCAATTTGAAGAGCCATATTGTATTATTGTTGATTAATATACTATCTATTGCTAATGCATCTTCAATTGGATGCCACATTGTTTTATATAGGGTTCCTCCATGGTACTCTCTTATGTGCAATCTCTAACTATGCGAAAGTGATTTGAAAAAAAGATTATGTGAATTTACACAAAAACTCGTTTACAACTTGTTTGTACTGTTAAGTATTCTTAAACTTGCTCGGTACAAAAATCATTTGAAATTTACCTAATGACTATTATAAGAACAGCTTTATCATCGCAAAAGTGTGAATTAGTTGTATTTTAAACTATATCATCACCGAAATCAAATTACAACGATTATAAACTAAAATTATATGGAAAAGTTATTGATTATTTAGTTCAGAAAACTAATTTGACACAGTCGATTACACGGATCAGAGGACATGGACGAGCTAGGCACAAGAGCAAATAGGGCTAAGACACCTCTCGCCGGAAATGCTACTATAAGGGACCCCATAGCCACCCGAGACCAACCGGTCATCAGGAATCACGGCCAAGAATGATAGTTGCAAATTGCAATACCCGAGGACCAAACCTTAAACTCTTAGGTCACCAACACAAATAATGAACTGTTTGACTACAAACCCTCTTTCGCATTAAGTGGAAAATTCACTTACATATTCAATAAAAAAGGGTTTGGGCTATTGTATAAAACCTCATTATTTATAGTACTACAAAACTCAATTCAATGATCCTAATTTGGGAATGGAACATCCAATGATTCATATCACAAAGGGGCAAAGAGGAAAAGTATGAGAGAGGGAGAGGCTGACCGAATTTTGCTACCCGGATTTAGGGACTTATCCATGCAGATTTCAAGGCGCCTGTTAAGGCATTTTTAACTTTCCAATGAAAATTCAACGAACCACAGCGCATTCATTTTACGTTGGATTTATAAAAAAAAATTGCATAGAAAAATCATATTTCTTCTGCTATACAAGATGACATCCATTTTGATATTTTTGTGTAGTAAAACATTTTCAGGTAATATCATATCAAGTTTGTGTCATTCATATCAAAATCGTAACAGTTTTATGTCATTCATATCATAACATTTTATATCCATATCATATAAATTTGTATAATTTCATATTAGTTCAATGTCATTCATATCAAGATCATATTTGTTCATATAATATCGGTTCATATATAAAGTTTATGTCATTCATATCACGATTGTATTAGTTCTATACCATTCATATCAGTATCATATAAGTTCATACTATTTATATGACAGTGATAATACTATAACCGATACGGATTTTGAAGAGTTTATTTTTTAGTTTTTTAAAATATAGCAAAATGATTATCAATGTGTTAATCATAATAAATGTGTACTTTCTATGTAAAAAATTAATTTTGGATTTAAAACGAATTATGTAGGATTCGATTAAGTAAAATACATTATCTCTTCCCTAGATCCGTGTAAGGCTATTAGCGAAAAAAACTAGTGTGGCGAAATTATCAATCTGCCCCTCTTTTTTGTTCTAGATTAATGTGCGCCATCAAGTCTGTTACGATCAGACTAATGAATTTTGAGTTTTGTAGCTTTGATTTTTTACGATAACCCTTTGAGATTGCGTTATATATTGTGACTTGGGATAATGGTTGGAATAATCCTTTGGACTTTGCTATGGTGATTTACACATTTCAGTCAACCGAAAGGTGAGAATGGTCGACCGAATCTACTAATTCCTTTCTGTGACTGTCAACAACGTGGTTGACCTTGTACATCAAATGGTCGACCCCTTCGCCAAGCCCAAGCGAACAACAAAAAAGGTCGACCTCGTATGCTAAAATGGTCGACCGTGTGCATTAAGAAGGTTAACCTGTATTGGATTAACTTATCAATATCAAATTCAAACTTATTTCTGTAAACAATAGAAACGGTCGACCTGAGAAGTACGTGGTCGACATCTTACATACTATCCGTATTCAATAAGGATTCCAACACTAGAAAGGTAACCCTAAGTTGTCTACCACTTAATTCTCCCTAATATCGTCTTAAATATCTATAACAAATAATATATGTCACCTTCACCGCCACTCGAACACTTAGTTTGGGTTCTTCTACGGTTATAGTTTTGGTGATGAAGAAGACTGCTGCTTGTTTTTCCTGTTCCGGTTCCAGACAGACGACCACATACAAGGTGAGGTTGACCTAATTTAGGATACGATGTTATTTAATTAGACGATGGTGCATGATGAGAAAAAACAACACAATGATGGTGAGATTATGAAAGTGTTGAAAACCACACAAGGGCAGATGGTGATTTGTCGAAAAGAATTCAATAACTATCAGAATTCCATGTGTGATACACTGGAGAAGTTGTCAGTTCGATTGACATATATGACTGGGATGATGCATGATGGTTTTGAGAGGCTAGAAGGTGTTATCGAAGAAATGCGTGAAGAAAGAATGGAGAAGGGACAAAGTGATGGTACCACAAAGAAACTTGACTTTGATGAAGAGGAGGAAGATCATAACGAGTATGCAAATTGCTACAAGAGCATAGACGATTTATTGAAAGACTGCAAGTTTAAGGTGATAGTATATTCATATGAGTGAAGATATTAGTATGACTATCATCAGTGTTAATTTATTTTTTTATATGATTAATAGAGTCAAGTAACATTTGGCAGCAATGGTTCCTCTCCTTAGTACGAGAAATCTCGATATGAAAGTCAAGTAACATTTGACAGCAATGGTTCCTCTCCTTAGTACAAGAAATCTCGATATGAAAGTCACTCATACACCACTCCACAGAAGGATCATTTAGCAAGAAAAGGATTATTTGGTGATGGTAGCGACGAAGATGAATCTAAGAGTCCTTATGAAAAATACAGAGTAAGTCTAAGTTACATATTGTGTGTTTGTTTTCATATGCAACTTCAATATTAACTCTGAGTTGTAGGTCATGAAAGTGGAGGGGCTAGCAGATTTTATGAAATATCTGCAAAATTCAGTCGAAGACTTGTTTTACGTTGTTACTAAAGAGAAGGTTGGAGACACGAAATGGGACAAGTAAGAGAAGTATTATTTTCTTAAAATAGTTCATCTGGTCGACCGTCACAACAATGAGGTCGACATATTGTCCAAAATAGGTCGACCATGCCAGTGAATAGTTTGACTGTTTGGTGCAAGTCACAATTGACAATTCTGTTGTTTTTTTTTTTGCAGTTTGGTCATTTTTTACTTTGTTCAAGAAAACATACAAAGGAAAAAATATTTGAGTTCGGTCATTAGAGAGAATAGTTGGATCTGCTCATCCGTAAGTATTATTATACTACGACTTTGGTATGAGTTGTGCATTATTTCTGTTATGATTTACGATGATTTTGTGGTTGACTATTGGTTTGTAGGTAGTGGATTTGTGTGCATTGCCACTAACAATGTTTGGAAAAAATTAAAATAAAGAGCCAAATGTGTGGTATTTTCCAAATATATTTTCGGTAAGAGCAGTATTTTGCATTCATTAGTCCTAACCTAGTTAATAATATTGTACCATGTCAAGTAATTTTAATAAAAATATGGTGCATAAAATGGTAGTCCGTAACATGAAGACCGAAAAAATTCGTAACAAGTTTCTGGATGATGGCGTGGTGTTTATGCCGAATGTTAGTGCATGTCAGAAGGTTTGCCAATGTACTTATCTCATTATGCTTTCAAAGTGAATTTGCTTCTATTCTCATTTTAATAACATACTTTTTCCTAGCTAGATATTTATGCCAGTTTTGGACGATGATGCACGTCCTTGGTTTTTGTATCTCGTTAATGTCCAGCAAAAAATGCATTTTTGCTTGACAATCTAACACCAACTAGCGAGGCGGGTCGTAAACGTAAATCAAATAAGTACTACAAGAAAATGGTAAGTGTTTCCTATGAGATTCTGACTACTAATTAAGTGTCATGTGTACGGCTAGAAGCATATAATATTCGTTGTTTGTGTATAGACAGTATAGTTGTCCAAACTGCATGATATGTTCAAACCTGAGCGCATAAGTAATGCAACATTACCTTATTTTGAAGATTTCAATATCGATGAGCTACGCGTTCAGGGGCCAAGGAATGGTACCGAGTGTGGTGTGCACATGATGCAGTGGATGCGTTATGGATCCAAAGAACTGGATAGAGTGATTAGTATATCGTCAACCAAAAAACTTGCTAAATTTTGATTTTGTTTTTTTAGTTCTAAAGAAGTGTTTTATGCCATAATGTAGTACATGTGGTATCTGCCTACACATTTTGGAAACCGTGCACGAGAAAATCTTTTCAAGCATATAGTAGATGAATGTGCGGAACGAGGCAAAGAGAGAAAGAGTTCAAACAAAAAAGCAAAGAAATGATATCATTCAGTTACAATGTTACATTTGTAAGGCAATACGTTAAATTTTGATTGCGAGGTTGTTTTCTTTAAGATATTCAATGTTTTCGTTTATTTGATTAGTTATATAATCATGGATTTCAAGGCATTTAGAGTATGAATCGTTTACTCAAATCGGTCGACCACAGAAAGAAATAGGTCGATCTCGTATGCTTACGGTCGACCTATGAGAATTTTAGTTAGCTCCTAAACGATGTCGAATAAGGCTTCAGTCCTGGTGATTGTCTCCTCTAGCAAAAACGGTCGACCATGACCAGAAAGAGGTCGACCTATATTTGCATTAATTTTGTGTACTTCTCCTTGTCGAATTAGGATTTTGTGTATCCTTTACTATTTAGGATATGTGTTCCCCATACTAATAAGGATAAGGACGTCGTCTATATTCTCTATA